ATTCACTCAATTGTTCGCTCGATGATACGTACGAACGTTAAATGATCGAATGAAAAGCAAAGGCGTTATATGGAATTAACGATTGAACGAAATGTGAAATTACAACGGTCGAATCGCAGCAGGAATCTTTTGTGATTTTGCGTGAAAACAAGATCAATTGCGAGCGGTTCTAGCGGTTCAATGAAAAACAACCAAGCTTTTGGCTCGCGATGAAAGAGATCAAGTGTGGGCGGAATTGAAAGAGAATGGATAAAACGTAACTACGGGATATTATTACACGCCCGTGTAAAATTAACACGTACATGGGGGGAAATAGGTGCACATTGGCAACCGCACGAATGTGGTTTCAAGCCGGTTGCTTCGTGTTAACGCGGAGACGGCGTGGCGTGTTGAGCAGCCTCGAATTTCGTTCAAACTTTGCACTAAAAATCGGATTGCGTGTTAGAAAAAAAAAGATTTTCAGAGATCGTGTTTATCAATAGCTAGACTCGAGGTCAGACTCGTTGAAAGTGCGTGAAATAACGTGGTGTGAAAATAGTTCCTCGAAAATGAAGTAATTTGTATTCGCGACGCGAGAATTAATATCGCGGCTTGGCTCGAATGAAATAACGTCGTTAATCCGACATGGCGCCAACGACAAACGAGAGTCGTATCGCTTTGTCCAGAAATTTCTTCGCTTCTCGTCGAGAGGGCGTATGTGCGCCACCGAAAAACGAGCATCGTGCCATGCACAGACTTTATTTCGAAGGAAATCACGAGATATTTTTCCACCGATATTTCCATTTGTAGAAAAAAAATTTTGAATAGTTTTGAAAATAACTTAAGATGATTTATATTTAATAAATCGAAACAAACTTTCAAAAGCAAAAACATCGATGGAAATTGTAATAAGCAGATTTTTCATTTCGATTAGAGAGATGCGTGCAATTCTCTTATTTGTCTTTCTTCTCGTGAACTTTCTTTCAACATCGGGGATTATTTTTCTTGCTAAGTATATCAATATATAGGGTGTTTCAAAAATGTATGTAAATGGAATATCCATAAACTAGAGATTCCTAAGATAATTTCAAGCAATCTTTTTCTTTATGAAAACTTTCGTTATGGCTTTGTTAATGAATTATTAAGAAAAAAACATTGGCCAATCAAGGAGCATATAGCCTCGCCAAGCCGTTATAGTAGCATTGACATGTTGCCAACTGTATGAACAAGTCCAAGCATATCAAAAATAATAAATATTTTTTTATTGAAAAAATTATATCGAATTATATCACGAACAATAAATAAATAAATAAATATAATGTTCAACACATTTTTGAGATATATTTCTTAGACTTGTTTGTATTCGATGGCACATAATTAATGTTACGGCATGACTAAGCTGTTTCATGATTGGCCAATGTTTTTTGTTATAATAATTATAATAATAGTTATAATAATTATATAATAGTTATAATAATTATATAATAGTTATAATAGTTATAATAGTTATAATAATAATATAATATAATAGTTATAATAATTCGTTAACAAAGCCATAACGAAAATTTTCGCAAAGAAAAATGTTGCTTAAAATTATCTTAGGAATTTTTAGTTTACGGATTTCCAACATTTTTGAGACACCCTGTATATATGCAGTTTCATTTAAAATGGATCAATTTTCAACAACATGGAAGAGACATGCGATCAAAACATTGTCGTTATACCACGAATAACCATATGAATAATAAAGGACAACTTTACGACTGTTTGCAAAGCTGCTTCTGAAACGACGAACGGAATTTCAAAAGCTACAACTCTTCGAACTGAAGATTCAGATCGATGATTTTGCGTTACACATGAACACTCGTTGTCTCGAAATCGGAAAAAAACGTGGTTCCTTTTATTCTAGATAGGTTCGTACAGTTTCCTTTGATCGTTATATCACGAGTTGAACGCGAATGAAACACAATGGAAAATTACATAGGACCAATATCGACGAGAGAATTACTTTGTTCGTTACGCAATTTAGACGAAACTCGTTTACACTTCGTGGATCGTGATATGAGTAAATAAAGTATTGATTCAATCGAAAAATTGTTGGTTTGAAAACGCGATATCTTTTTTTTAAAACTCGATTTAATGAATTTTTTTTTTCTTTTGAAAAATTAGATTAGATTAATTTAGACTATTAGATTAAATTAGATTAGAAAAATAAAACGATTTTTTAATCTCCTTTAATGAAAATTTAAAGATCTACATTTTGTAGATTTATATGTATATATGTTAAAAATTTCGCCAAAATCGATTAACATTGCTATAAATTACGAATACAATTTTGATCTAAAATCTTAAGTTTGTTCGATGTTTGTTACTTTCTGCATCAATCGATAAAAATATAATTTTTAAATTTTCATCAAAGAGAATTAAGATTGAAAAAAAATTGATCTAGTAAATTAATTTGTTTAATTTCTGAAAAAAACTCGAGTCATATTAAACATAATTTTAAAAAAATTTTCTCTGATGAATGAAAGTACCTGAATTTGATCGAAAATGATGCTTTCGTCTCGTTATCTTCACAAAAAACGAATATAAATATATTTTTTCCCACTGTATCAATCGTTCTTTTTACCTTTTTTTTTTTCATTTATTTAGCTTCACTCGTCATTTGCATCGATGATTTATGCACCAACCTCGCATGCTGCTTTTTTTTTTTCACTCTAAGCTCCTCCTCATTTGCATGCCTTCTCATCCGCTGTTCGTTAACCCCGATCGCATCCAAGATGAGAACTCGAAAAAAGGATTCCCACGAGGCCAAATTGACATCGACGATATCGACTATCGACGACTCGTCGAGACGATCCAATCGTTATTTTCTACGTGTCTTCGTTGGCAAAGCTTCGTTCCACAGAATATATTCCATATTCGTGTTCCTCGTGTGTATAGCGTTCCATGTTTTTTTCAAACGTCGCGACATGCTACAGCCGTAAGAGCAACGTGGATCGAAAATATGTCCCAATTTAACGAATTTCCTCGCGTAGGCGAAACGATATCGATATTCAAGCTCGCGATAGAGTATGGACTGGTCGATCAAGTTGAATTTCGACGAATAAATCGTTGCACTAGTTGAACGGTGTTCTTTGTCGCGCATCGACTGGCTAACCTATAAATTGAATTGTACGATCTTCGATCCACCGGAAAATTTATGTCGCATACATTTCCTCAGCGCGTTCATTCATTCTCGTTTTTTTTTTTCAAATAGATTTTTACATTAAATTTTTTTTTTCTAAACTAAACTATGGTTTATGAATTATCCTAATTTATTGCCAGAAAAGAAAAAAATATAACAGCTTAACCTCACCTTTAATTTTTTTTTTTCAATTTCCTTTTTTTTCTACGTATTATTTTCATACGTATATATTTCTTCTCGTATAATTAATTTCTCGTACAACTTTTCTCATCTTTCTAAAGAAAAAAAAAAATTCGACTCCTTAAATAGAAGAAGGATCCTCGACAATTTCTTTCTCATCTATCTTCGACTATTCTCCTTCTTCTAATCTAAGAGAAGAAAAAGTGTAATGGCTTAACACTTAACCTCACTTTTAATATTTTTCTTTCAATTCCTCTTTTTTCCATATATTTTTATACATATATATCTCTTCTCGTATAATTAATTTCTCGTTAACTTTCGTTACAATTTTTCTTATCTTTCTAAAAAAAAAAAAATCTTCAAATAGAACAAGGATCCTTTACCTTCGATTATTGTTTCTTCGCGAGTTTTCAAGTATTGTCACGTTATAGTCGATGGTTTAACGATTGACGGCGTTATCAAGGTTCTTGAAGAACGGTAACACAGGTTGTCAAGGCCCTGACCACTTCGGCACGTACCTATTTCGACTCTCGGCCTCTTCTATCCTATTCTCCTCTTGTTTTCCACTCTTTGTTTTTTCTCTCTTTCCTTCTTCTGTTTCTTCGCTTCAAAAACCTCCTCCTACGGCGACAACTCGAAAGGGTCGTTAGACGGTACAAGAACGAGAAGGTAAAAATCCTCCTACGTCTCCATCCAGAGAACAATACCACTTAGCCCGCCATTTTCAACGCGATCGCCTCGTCTTTACCCTCTCTCTCACTCTTCTTATATTTCTACAATTGTCCTTGCAACTGTTTCCTCGTCGATCCGCCATGCATACATCAGCGACACCACGATACCAACTTTGGAATTAGATGCGCACGATTGTTTCGAATTTAGACAGATGAGAAATTGTTCGAGAGATTGTCGAAGAGAGATTGATCGGTGTGATTATTGGTTCAGTTGTTTCACAAAAGTTTATGCAAAAGTTTAATAAAAACTGGAAATGATAAATAGTTCGATTGTTTAAACAAACGTGATGTGTATTTTTCTTAAATGATTGCTCGATTGCTACACTGGTGAAAAAAGATAAACACGTTTGATGAGAAAGTCATGTTGGATTACACGTATAATTGAGATTTTTAGAATTACACGTAAAGCTATTATTTGTCCTTAAGTTTCGGAAAAATAAGAAAAAGATTCCGTTTCTAAAATACACGTTATCCGTCGAAATTGATTCGGTCGAATTGAAATGTTGAAATCGTTGCTTTCTCTCTAGTTATCAACGTCTACGTGTCTTTCGTGAAATCCTGAATATCGAATTTCACCGTTTACCGAGTCGAAGAAACGCGAGGAATTTCCAAAAGGAATTCTTTTTCCCAAAGTATTTCCCTCTCAGTTTTTTGAATCCGTCGCTTTGTAACCTGATCACGAACCGTTGGACAGATTTGTCACGCTTGTTCTTCGCATTAAAACGTTTTAAAATTTGATCCAGAATATGATAACATTTTTCATTCTTTTTTCTTTCGTAACCAACTGATCCAATGTTGGGCATTAATTCATCGAAAAAGCAACTAATTGAAAATTTCGTATAAAGTAATTACTTAACGAAACGAATAGCTATTAAATTTAACCATGATCTATATTTATATATATTTCTATTAAAATAGAAATAAATCACGAGATAATTTTGTAATAGTGCCGATAAAATTAACAATTGTCAATTATTTTTACCACCACTGTCATTATCAATAATTACACTGACTGCGCGACATTCATTACCGATAACACGAACATACATATTATAATACGATAGTGAACGTTTCTCTTAATGCTCTCGAGGATCGAAGAAACACGATTCCATAATTGCATTTCCGATCGTTGATTTAATTCATTCTCCCGATTTCGTTAATTGCATCCCGGTAACCGCGAATGAATACGCGGCGTGAAAATCGAAAACCAACTCCCGATTTACTCGAGATTTTTATTAAGAGTATTAATATTTGCAAAGTATTAAACGTATTTTCATCGCGTCGAGTGAAATCACTTTTTATACACGCGAACGTCTCACCTGATTTTGCCATTTGAAGAGAAAAATGTTTCGGACGAGGGATTAAATTAAACTTTTGTTCGAAAATGTGACATCGTTAATCGCGAAATTTCATCGTGCCTACTTCGTGTGCGTACTCGAGCATACTCTCCTCTTTCATTTTCGCAAATTAAATATTAACTCGTCGCTCGAATCTCCTTTTTTTTTTTTTTTTTTTTTTTTTTTTTTTTTTTTTTTTTCTCTCTCCTTCTCCTGGACACGAAAACTAGCGTTTATTTGATCTCCACTATTTTTCCCCTTGATAGCAAATACCGATTGCCACGCACGAGAGCTCGTTCGTGGTAAATAATGGGAACATTAATCGATAGAACTCGGTTAATTAGTGCGCGAGTGCATTTTCGAAACGGTTAATTAGATTTCTACATCATCTTTCGCGCTGTTAATTTACTCTCGAAATTACCCTTTATTTCTGTTGCTTATTACCATAAAAAAGCTCGGGAAAAAATTTTTTTCTCGTTCACGCGTAAAATGAATTTTCATTACCATACGTAGGTAACATCAACATTTTCGATCTTTCGATCCGCTCTTAATTTTCTCGGAACAATTTTTCGATTCGAAAAACCTACTTTAAAAATCGAATCGACAAAGTGGATATTGGAAAGAAAAAATGAAATCAAACAATTCACGGCCTCTTTGGATCTGAATCTCATTTGAATATCGGATGCGACAAGAATACGTTCATGAATAATCATTAAGAAAAAAAAAAATTCTAACAAATCCAAGATAATTGTTGGAATTCAATATCTTTTATACCTTTTCCATCTTTCACCTTATTTTATGCATCGAATCGACAATTTTTTCTCTTTAGTAAAAATTTCCTCAAGTGCGATCAGGAAGTTTCAATATAAATCGATCTCGAATCTGGCCCGTGTGAATGTGTGGAAAAAAAAATATACGTAAAGGTGAGAGAAGAAAAAAGAAAAAAAGGTAGAAGAAATTCTTACTACGCGCGAAAAAAAAAAGCAATGGTGATGGTAGCAGTTTAAATGGAAAAAAATTCTGAATAATTTAATTCATGGGATAAAGCAGCCTTGTAAGTATGAGAGAGGATTAAAAAAAAAAAAAACTAGAGAGAAATCTATATATATATATATATATATTCGATAAGTACATTCACGATTCCACAGAACCGCTTTCGATCTCTCAACGGTATAAATTGATCTCCCCATTTTCATATCACGACTTTCGTTAAACGAATCCTTTCAGGCTTGGCAAGGATATGCTTTTATCAGAGTTCCTTGAAAGCAGAACCGTCGCTGGTTGCAAAAGAATACAGAGAGAGAGAGAGAGAGAGAGAGAGAGAGAGAGAGAGAGAGAGAGAGAGAGAGAGAGA